GGAGCATATACCTCGTGGAGGTTCACACCATAAAATTGTTACTTTTAGCTCTAGAATCTTCCAAGCGAGTCAGCGCAGGCGCAGACAATACCCATATGTGTGTACATTCACAGAGGACACGAAAAAGAACCCTAAACATCCTCAAGAAGCCGCCAATTAAGGTATTCAGTTAAAACATAACTGTTTAGTAGATATTTTGTGTAACTGAAATTAAGAGGATGAAAAATTTTATAATTAAGGTAAAGGTTCCCCTTGACAATTTGTCCAGTCATGTCTGACTCTAGGGGGCGGTGCTCATGTCCATTTCCAACCCACAGAGCTAGCATTTGTCCGAAGACAATCTTCCATGGTCACATGGTCAGCGCGACTAGACACGGAACGCTGTTACCTTCCCACCGTGGTGGTACCTATTTATCTACTTGCATTGGCATGCTTTCAAACTGCTAGGTTGGCAGGAGCTGGGACAAGTGACAGGAGCTCACTCCATCATGTGGATTCGATCTTATGACTGCAGGTCTTCTGACCTTGCAGCACAGGGGCTTCAGCGGTTTAACCTGCAGCGCCATCACGTCCCTTTTTATAATTAAAGCTTGCATTAAATACAGAGTAATGACTTCTATTTTATCTGAAGAGATGGGTTTAGGATAAAAGGAAAATAAATGAATAGAACAGTGGACTGACATCTTATCCTACAACCAATTCCTGTTGAATGTCTGTCTGTTCAAACTCTCTTTCCCAGGAAGAATATTCTTAGCAGCTTCCTTAGGCATGTCCAACAGTTGTTTTAGCCATGTACAGCTACTTTTGGTTAATCTGGATATATACTGATAATAGCTGTTCCTTACTGCATAGTAAGCTTCTTCCCTGGCTGTCTATTACGCACAAGGAGGAAAAAGCAGGAAAATTATCTCAGATGAAGCAACAGTTCACTCACACCCACCCTCTTATGCTGGCTACTCTACATCACATTAGCAAAGCTTTTTTGTCATGCTTTGGATTTTTCTTTGTTCTCGACAGGAGTTAATAATGGCATGCACAGGGTGGGACAGTATGGCAGCAAACTGTTTCTCTAGGCAACCAAGATCTGACACCCCCACCAAATGAGCTGAATCCATTCAATGGTTTACATAATTTTTATTAAAGAATCAATGTACCTGTAGTTTGACGTTTTCTGCCCCTCTTTTTGGACTCTGTATCCTGAGGATAACTTTTTACTACAGAAATTGGAGGGCTTTTCTGTTTCCTTGTGTTCAAAGCATTAACAATTCTAAAGCCAAAAGAGCTGGAAGGGCTACTTGCTGGGGTATTATCTGCTGTCTTCCTCCTTCTGAGTTGTCTACGTGGACTGGTTAGCTCTATAAACTCATCTCTTTGTAACATGCCTCGATTGTGACGAGTAGTATGGCTATTAGGTCTTGATGATTTTGCTACCGATGGAGGAGCAGACTTTATTTTCCTTATGATTCTTCCGGTAGCTTTAAATGAAGATCCATCTGGTTTAGGTGTGTTGTGCTGACTCCGGGAGTTATACCTTCTGGAACTTTGTCGCTGGAAGCTTTGACTTGAAATAGTAGTGGTAAGTTTTGCAGCTCTTGGTCTTAAGGAAAGTTTTACCTGAGGTTTTCCTGATTTGGATAAGCTGTAAGAATTAACACAAGCATCAATTTATCTGTTCTTAAAACCAGCAAAATTTTACTTAATACTGGGAAGCGGATCATATAAATGAACTCAGCTAGTCCTCCTAAATGCAGAAGTGCACCACCAGTTTCTGTTCACCTTGGTTATTTATTTTTTAAAATGTATACTACCCTTCAATATAAACGTTCTCAGATAGCACTATAACAGCTGACTAAAAACCACAGTTCGCCAATTAAAAGCCTGGGAAAATAAAATTTCAGTAATTTCAGTGCATGGAGCAGTATAGTGAGGGAATGTACCCTGGAAAACTGAAAATAAAACCAGCAGGTTTGCAACTACAGTGGAGTCTCGACTTATGAACGGCTCCACTTACGTACTTTTCGACCTACGGACTTCTCCAGCCGCAAAATTTTACCTCAACTTGCGGCCGGAGAATCGAGCTACGGACCAGAAGGGGGAGGTGGGGAAAGCGCCCAATTCAAATTTGGTGCTTTTCCCGCCTCCCCCTTCCAGTCCGTAGGCCATAGGTTGTGCCTTCGGATGCCTTGCAGGGCTTCTGTGCCGCCATGGGAGGCATCTCGGAGGTCCCCCCTGCCGCCGATATGCTTTGGAGCCCATGGCGGTGGAGAAGCCCTGCAAGGCATCTGGAGGTCCCCTGCTGCTGCCACCACTGCTGGAAGTCGAGCCGCACTGGGCAACCCAAGCAGCGGCGGCAGCAGGGTGGGGGTGGGGGTCCCCAGATGTCTTCCATTACTTCTCTGCCTGGAAGGCATCCGGAGGTCCCTCGCCGCCGCCGCTGGGCGCCGCGCCGGGCAACCTGAGCCATGCTTGGACTCCCAGGAGTCCAAGCATGGCTTGGGTTGCCTGGCGTGGCTCCCAGCAGCGGCGGTGGGGGACCTCCAGATTCTCAAAGGGCTTCTTCCAATGTCGGGGGGGGAGCCCTTTGAGAGCTCGGAAGGCAAACAGGCAGGGAGAAAAAGGCTGGAAATTCGAATTTCTCGCCTTTTCTCCCTGCCTTCTTGCCTTCCGAGCTTTCTTCCACTCCGAAGGCAAGAAGGCAGGGAGAAAAGGTGGGAAATTCAAATTTCCAGCCTTTTTCTCCCTGCCTGTTTGCCTTCCAACAAAAGGCTCTCAAAAGGCTTTCCCTCCGACATTGGAGGAAGCCCTTTGAGAGCTTCGAAGGCTCCCAGCGGCGGTGGCAGCAGGGTGGGGTGGGGGTCTCTGGATGCCTTCCATTGCTTCTCTGCCTGGAAGGCATCCGGAGGTCCGCTGCCGCTGGGAGCCACGCCGGGCAACCCAAGCCATGCTCGGACTTCTGGGAGTCAAAGCATGCCTGGGGTTGCCCGGAGGCTACCGGCGGTGGCGACAGGGTGAGGGACCTCCGGATGCCTTCCAGGCGGAGAAGCAATGGAAGGCATCCGGACACCCCCTACCCTGCCGCCGCTTGGAGCTGTGCTGTGCCGGGCAACCCCAGCCATGCTCGGACTCCAACCATGGCTGGGATAGCCGGGCGCAGCTCGGCTCCCGGTGGCAGCGGCACGGGACCTCCGAAGGCCTCCCCCACCACCATGGGAGGCCTCTTGGAATGCCCCCCCTGCCGGTAGTGGCTCCGAAGCACTATCAGCGGTGGCGGGGGACCTCGATAGGCCTCCGGCAGCGGCGCCGAAGCCCTCAGAGTCCTCTGGCAGCCTCTATGGCTGCAGCGGGGGACCTCCGAGAGGCCTTTGGCAGCCGCGTCGAAACCCTCGGAGTCCTCCAACAGTAGCGATGGCAGCAGCGGGGGGACCCGTTGAAGACTTCGAAAAAGTAAGGTGATTTTAAAAATATTTATTTTTAATTTTTTTTTGTGTGTGGGGGGGGTTTTCTTGGGCCAGATACGGATTAATAGGTTTTCAATGCATTCCTATGAGGAATGCATTTTCGACAGATGGACTATTCGACCTACAGACTCTGTTACAATACGGATTAATTCCGTAGGTCAAGACCCCACTGTAAAAGGGTACTGTACATCCTTGTGATTGCGTGAGCTTGAGCCCTCCTGAAGTTCTACTTCCATGTCCCTATCAAGGCGATCTGGTGGGGATAGGGTAGATTTCTTCTCCCATGTATTACCTAGGAGTGAACTCTCTATTGCAGCCTGGAAAATTGAGAGAGGTGAGAAGAAGAGAAAGGTGTGAAAAAGCCTACCCAGAATCTCCTCGATGGCAAATATAAGGGAGACAAATCTGAGGGCAGTTGGAAGGAAGGAGTTGGAGAAGCTGGTAGATGCCCCAGAGTGTAATGGAGAAGAGCTGGACCCTGCTGTATATCCTGGCTTTGAGGGGGCTCACCATAAAGGATCCTGAGCAGCCCAGAAGGCTGAAACTAAATTAAGGGTTACTCCTGAAACCAAGAATGGTCCAGTTAAGTGGAGTACTTGACCTTGACCCAAGAACACTGTTTGCACTGCAAGAGGTAGTTTCAACCATGTACTCTAGTCAGTGAAGGACATTAGAGAAGGGAGGCTAAAGGTTTGTAAATTTCGACCATTAGTTGAACTATATGGGTTCTAAATGGTGGAGAAACAATAAACATAGTTCATAATAAATGTCTGTTCGTTGATTGACTACATAATGAAAAATATTGGTAAAACATTTGTAGTTCCCATCTACCGAGGAGGCATGTCCCTTCACAATCCTATAAAAACAACTATACATTTACCTGTGGATAAATAAACTTATTCTGAGCAAATATGTAAAGAAACAAACTTTAAAGATGCTTTTTACTTGGCTCACACTGTTAAACAATGTGAAGTATAATATTTTGAGATTTTCAGGAATACTTAAAAAATAGATGGTATCTTAAAAGAACTGCTGGATAGCTCAGTGGTTTAGGTATCTGGCTGTGGAGCCAGAGGTTGGGAGTTTGATTACACACTGTGCCTCTTTGTTAAGGGCTGAACTTGATGATCCATAGGGTTCCTTCCAGCTCTGTAGTTCTAATATTATTATGAAATATGTTATACTTTTAGAAGATATTATAGTACCATGAAGTAAAGATTCTGTACCAAAGTATATGGAAGAATTATAAAAGTGGGATGTTTTGCTTACTTCTGTGTGTGAAGAGATGTTATGATGTAATGAGCATATAAATTTGAGGCCAATGTTGAAGATCAGTGGTGAAACCCTTGGGAATATGTAAAGTTTATACACACAGTTTCTGCAAAAGTGCTGATTGAGTTTGATTTACCTTTTTTCTTCCTCTTCCTGAGAATCAGAGTTGTAATTGTAATCTTCCTCTTCGTAATCTTCCTCTTCGCTCTGTCCATATGTGGTTTCATCGTCCTCCTCTTCAACTTGGTCTTCAATCTCTTCATCACTTTCCATAGAAGGTCTTTGGCGGGATGAGAGACGCCTAGAACGCTGTTTTGGTCGACATTCTGGACAAAACCAGTCTCCATCAGGGACTGCCTATTAAAGAGCCAGCATGTATTAGAAAATTCCATTCCATTACACTATACAAGCTCACAATTATTATTTTAAAAATAAAATTCCTAGTTACCTTGAGCTTTGGCCTTATACAGTGGATATGATAGCCCCGATCACAGCTGTCACATAGCACCATGCTTTCAGCATCTCCTTTCTTTCTGCACATTTTACAACGAGCATTTAAGATGGATTTAGACCAGATTACACTTCGCTCCAGTGTTGAGAGGTGAAGAAAGATTTGGGACAAGCTAGCTGAAGAAAGTAGTGATTCTCTCCAGCGGTCCAAGACTGTTTTATGTGAACGACCACCATCACTGCCATCTTAACACATAAAATAACAAAGTAGAGCAGTTATGCTAAAACAGTTCAATTAATTCCCTACATGACACAGTGAAACTTCTAGCATTACCTGCTCCCAAGTTATGAGAACAAGCATCAATGTTAAAAAAAATTTTTTTTGGCAAAGTTCTCAAATGAGTCTCAACCTATACATCTGAGAGATCTGGTAGGCAGGGACTTCTAGAAAGGTTCTCATAAGGTGCAGAAATATAGTCATGGCACAGTAGGTAGGTTCTCTTATGTATCAGAAGCCAATAAAAGAATGGGTGGCAGAAAGTAGGAGCAGAGAGACGACCATTTTCCCAGGGGAGAAAAGTAAAATCCCCAAAATATATGAATCAGAAATTCTTTAACTTGTTCATTGGTGTAAGAGTTAATTTAGGAGGAAGAGTGATAGCATTTAGAAGTGGTTGTAGTAGATTCCATTCATTTGTCTGTATATTTGTTTATTTATTTGTTTGTTCATTCATTCATTTTCCACCTTCTGTTTCTTGGACTGAACACAGCCCTATATTCCCTTCAGGAGAGGAAAGAAATGGGGGGAAAAACAGAGCTACATTGAAGGAACAATTGGAGATGTTAATAATGTGGTTTCAGATAAACTAGGGAACCCATTCTGTGGTACTCCCACTAGTACAGGAGCAGCTAATTTGCTGCTGGTTCAGTTGGAAAACATACTGATTTCTTCTGTGGAAGAAAAAAAAGGGACTTACAGCTAGAATATAACATGCTGCAGAGGACCAGTTTTGGTAAATCTTTTAGTCTAAAGCAGGCTTGGGAAAAGGATTTGGGTATTATTATAGATGATGCTATCTTGAATTCCATATGGACCAATTCATCAATCAAAACAGTATGCAAAAATTAAAGAACACTAGCTAAAATTAGTAAATCAGTGGTATCTCAGACCATTAAAAATAAGTTAAGCAAGCTTGTCTAAAACGTTGGAGGACTTGTGAACAGATAGGGACTTACATTCATGTGTGGTGGTTCCACTCATTTGTTTTCTCTTTCTGAACATCAATATTTCATTAAATAGAGGCTATCACACCCCCAAAACCAAGGGGTTTCCCATATTAGGACTGTTACCTAGATATCTTAGGAATAATGTTTTGCTTTGGCACTCAAAAAGATTTCAACATTATGTGTAGCTGCCAGACTAGTTATAGCTTGCCACTGGAAATTAAAAAAACAAAACACTATACTATCTTGAGTTGGTTATCTAAGATCTTGTACCTGCCATTAATAGACCAACATGCTACCCATAGCAGATACACAAATACTGCAAGTCAATCAACTGTGTATGGTCACATGGAGAATCAGATTGCAATCTGTCGGACTACTACTTTTTGGGGATGAGCTGGAGCAAATCCCCAGCAAACAGAAGGATCATTTTAAAGGAGATAATTCCTGTTAAAGCAATAATTTCTGGTGTGATCAGGCCTTTGCAGTCATCTGCTCATACTCTAAGTTTCTATAAACATTGTTTCTCCTTGGCGAATACATAAAGTACAGTATATTATGAGATATTGGCCGCCTCCAATTTCTCATGTTGATTTTAGGAAATATATCCTTTTTCAATGGATCATTATTAAGTTTATGCTGAACCACTATAGATAAGATTTGCATGGTTTATTAGGCAAAATTATGTTGGTACAATTCCACTGGTTGAAATCAATTGAGGCACTGGAAGTAATTAATTAAAGAAGCTTCTTATCCCTCTTCTCTGCCCCATTTCAGCTTTGGAGGCTACCTAGGGTTCTCTTTTGCTATGGGGAAGTCTTGGAACACAGCAGGGAAGCCTTTAAATAAACAAAAACCACTGCTGGATCACTACAACTGGGAGTTGGGGCCACCACCAGTGATCCAAGAACAATTTGCCTAGTTTTTGTTTTTTATCCTTGTAACAGATTATTTTTAACCCAAATTAATTTTTTAAGAAAGAAAGAAAGAACAGGGAGATGAAAGGTTGTCTTTTTTCAGTTCATGGTACTATCACTATTTACTAGTAGAAGTGATTATTAGAGCAAACCATACAGAATAAAAAATAATTTAAGATTCCACTTACAAATAAATAATCTCACTAGTTAGACAGTCATAATAAAGCTACATATATGAAAACTGAAGAAAAAATATAATTGACTTAAAATTTTTAATATTCAAAACTTTTCACTAGAGATTATTGTAGGTCCTTTTTCCATTTCTATCAAATAAGCAGATACAGGTTTGATGTACCGTATTTTACAGGTCAAGATACCAAGAAGCAAGGCAAAACTTTGTGAAGTATTTTATGCTTATGTACATACATCATTTTTAGCCTGATCATGGGGCATTCTTGGCAAAGATACTGGAGTGGCATTGCCAGTTCCTACTCCAGGTGGATTGCATTTAATCGGAACTCTCCACTATGTCCTGTGCGTCTTGGGTGTCCCTGCACGGCATAGCCCATAGCTTTTCTGAGTTACTCAAGCCCCTTCGCCACGACAAGGCAGCAATCCATGAAGGGGCTTGACATTGTCCAGGAGGCAGCAACAAAAACCATCCCAAAGAAAAGGAAATGCAAGAAAGCAAAGTGGCTGTCCAACGAGGCCTTAGAAATAGCAGAGAGGAGAAGGGAAGCAAAATGCAAGGGAGATAGGGAAAGTTACAGAAACTTGAATTCAGACTTCCAAAGAATAGCAAGGAGAGACAAGAGGGCCTTCTTAAATGAACAATGCAAAGAAATAGAGGAAGATAACAGAAAAGGAAAGACCAGAGATCTGTTCAGGAAAATTGGACATATTAGAGGAACATTTTGCGCAAAGATGAACATGATAAAAGACAAAAATGGGAGGGACCTAACAGAAGCAGAAGACGTCAAGACGAGGTGGCAAGAATACACAGAGGAATTATATCGGAAAGATTTGGATATCCCGGACAATGCAGACAATGTAGTTGCTGACCTTGAGCCAGACATCCTGGAGAGTGAAGTCAAGTGGGCCTTAGAAAGCCTGGCTAACAACAAGGCCAGTGGAGGTGATGGCATTCCAGTTGAACTATTTAAAATCTTGAAAGATGATGCTGTTAAGGTGCTACATTCAATATGCCAGCAAGTTTGGAAAACTCAACAGTGGCCAGAGGATTGGAAAAGATCAGTCTACATCCCAATCCCAAAGAAAGGCAGTGCCAAAGAATGCTCCAACTACCGTACAATTGCACTCATTTCGCACGCTAGCAAGGTTATGCTCAAAATCCTGCAAGGTAGGCTTCAGCAGTATGTGGACCGAGAACTCCCAGAAGTACAAGCTGGATTCCGAAGAGGCAGAGGAACTCGAGACCAAATTGCTAACTTGCGCTGGATTATGGAGAAAGCCAGAGAGTTCCAGAAAAATATCTACTTCTGCTTCATTGACTATGCGAAAGCCTTTGACTGTGTGGACCACAGCAAACTATGGCAAGTTCTTAAAGAAATGGGAGTGCCTGACCACTTTATCTGTCTCCTGAGAAACCTATATGTGGGACAGGAAGCAACAGTTAGAACTGGATATGGAACAACTGATTGGTTCAAAATTGGGAAAGGAGTACGGCAAGGCTGTATATTGTCCCCCAGCTTATTTAACTTATATGCAGAATGCATCATGCGGAAGGCTGGACTGGAAGAAACCCAAGCTGGAATTAAGATTGCCGGAAGAAATATCAACAACCTCCGATATGCAGATGATACCACTCTGATGGCAGAAAGTGAGGAGGAATTAAAGAACCTTGTAATGAGAGTGAAAGAGGAGAGCGAAAAAATGGTCTGAAACTCAACATCAAAAAAACTAAGATCATGGCCACTGGTCCCATCACCTCCTGGGAAATAGAAGGGGAAGATATGGAGGCAGTGACAGATTTTATTTTCCTGGGCTCCATGATCACTGCAGATGGAGACAGCAGCCACAAAATTAAAAGGCGCCTGCTTCTTGGGAGGAAAGCGATGACAAATCTTGACAGCATCTTAAAAAGCAGAGACATCACCTTGCCAACAAAAGTCCGAATAGTCAAAGCTATGGTTTTTCCTGTCGTGATGTATGGAAGTGAGAGCTGGACCATAAAGAAAGCAGACCGCCGAAGAATTGATGCCTTTGAATTGTGGTGCTGGAGGAGACTCTTGAGAATCCCCTGGACTGCAAGGAGAACAAACCTATCAATTCTAAAGGAAATCAACCCTGAGTGCTCACTGGAAGGACAGATCCTGAAGCTGAGGCTCCAGTACTTTGGCCATCTAATGAGAAAAAAAGACTCCCTGGAAAAGACCCTGATGTTGGGAAAGTGTGATGGCAAGAGGAGAAGGGGACGACCGAGGATGAGATGGCTGGACAGTGTCTGCGAAGCAACCAATATGAATTTGACACAACTCCAGGAGGCAGTAGAAGATAGGAGGGCCTGGCGTGCTCTGGTCCATGGGGTCATGAAGAGTCGGACACGACTAAACGACAAACGACATACATCATTCATTGTTTCAAAATTTTAAAACAGCAATTATTATATGGGGTCTGTGGGATTTTCAGATTTTAACTCGTAAACTACCCAGGGCAGTGTGTGCACTAATGGGGTAGTATATAAAAATAAATAAATGAATAAATAAATAAATAAACTTTTCTTCATTGTGCTTTAAAGAGATTATATGCCATATAAATTTACAGAAAAATTAAATGTAATTTTATAAGCTCATATATGGAAGAATGTCAATAGTGTACCATAATTCTGACTAGACTGATCTTCTCTCTTCCTTCTTTTATCCCCTTTCTGGTCTCTCTTATGTTCTTCTACATCACCTAGTATTAAACATATAGAATTATTTTAAGTCTGGTCTGAATCACAATGAAATCTTCTCCCCAGAATTCTCAAAACCAGTCTGATTTTACTAATTTTGAAGCTACTTGTGTAATGGCCCTTTTTAGTCAGTAAATGAGAACAGTTAAATCTCTTCTGCAAGAAGAAGATATTTTGCCACTTACTCATTGAGTTTTAAGACAATTTGGAAATATCGCAGCAAGGTTCCTGTCCATTTCTTGAAAAGGAGATGACATTTCTCCATTAAATTATTGGAAATAGTTGCAAGTGGATGGGGATATCTAAAGCAGATATCTTATTCTATCATTTTATTAAATGGATTACGTGTCTCACATAGAGTGTGAAGCAAAAAGGATATAATATCCTGTAACTGCCTCCCGTGTAACAACTGCAAATGTTTTTACTGTCCTGACTGTAAATATTTTTGTGTGTTTGTGTGTATGTTGTTGTTATGTGCAGTCAAGTCAGAACTGACTTATAGCAACCCTAATAAGGGCTTTTAAGGTAAGTGAGATATTTAAGGAGTGGCTTTACCAGTTCAACACCCCCAGTGAGCTTCCAGGGATGAGTGGGGATTCAAACCTAGGCCTTATCCTTTGTCCAACACTCTATCCACTCGTACACCACACTGGATAGCTAAGCATTTATGTAGCAACTGGAAAAGATTTTCTAAACTCATTAGAACAATTAGATTTGAAATATTTACAGTTTTCATTACTCTGCTTTATAAACTATGTTTTGCTGCCACAGCACAAACTCTTTAGACTTATGTACACACTTAGTACAACTGCATTTCCAAATCATTGATGGCAGCCTGAAACAGAATGCAATTTACATAGGCTATTTCAGAAGATGCATTTCAGAAGATGGAAGTAATGCATTAAAAATAACAACGTTCCCTGTAGCACATGCCTTTTAATAGTAACAAGAGGCAACAATGTTAAGTATTTTGAGACTGACCATGCATTACATTTTTGGGATACTGAGTAACATTTACTATTTGTTTCCCAACCATTGAGTGACTATATTTATATTTTAATTTTTTTTAACAAAATACATTAGGTATTTTGGATTGCATTTTGAATGCTACACTTTTTTATGTTCTTACTGTCCAGCTATTCAATATGTGAAAATCGACTGTACCTTGTTCAGCTCATGCAATCTAAGGAAGTGAATCTTGGCTTCAGGCATGACCACAGCATTAGTACACTCCTCCCTTCTGTTGTTTTTCGCAAGTTAATTGGGCATGTCTGCCAGGTCACCTGATTCTACAGCAGCAATTTTGCAGACCAGCTCCAGAATAAGCATCTCTCCTTTTACAGACTTTCTACTGTAACAAGGTGTTTATATAAGTTAAACAAAATGTCAACACATTCTTGGTGGATTGCGACTCCTTTCTCCTTTATAAATTGGGATCAAATAGGTGAGCAGAAGGCTTTATATGTAAGTACTCACCAAGTGGGGATTTGAGGAATTTGCGTTCAATGCCTTGTTCTATCTGAAGCAGTGCCAAGGCCAAGTAATGGACTGCATTATTCACAGGCTGTGGAGTACTTGTATTAGTTGAAGCAGTGCTTCTAGGTTCAGGTTTTAATCCAATCAATCTGAAATAAAATGTAAAGCCCATTTGTTTTTATTACTGTTTCAAGTGACAGTGATTGGCAGGACAAGAATGTATAAACTTCCACTTAATGCAATCTTCCTAATTCTCCACTTTTCAGCATGGCTTCATTAGTTCTTCCCAGCCCCACTCAAGACATAACTGTTAGTTTGTTGGCCTTTCTGTTTGTGAGATATTGCTCATTTCTCCAATGATTGCTGCTTTTCACTTTAACACATGCACAGATCATCTTAATTTGTGTGGAGAAGAAAGAAAGGTAATACAGCTGCCAAACAAGCAGCAGTGTCAGTCTCTATACCAAACACTGGGCTTTTGGGAGGGGAGAAAAGCAATCAGTGGTTACACCACTGCTTTAACTCTAATATGAAATTACTCCAGTTTTTCAACTCACAACTTTGCATATTTTGCATGTTTGCTTGAAAGCACTGTAACCTTCCTTTTCATACAGTCTCTCTCCACTGTTCAAATGTTTTCTGCTCCCATCTTCCTTCTGCTTGGCTACATTTGCCACTCAGTTGACAAGCATGAGGTTAGGTATGAAAAGAAATCCTGAACAAGGTGAGTTTCAAATTCTTTAGTCTCCATACTCCTGATTTCTAAAGAGGAAGCCCTGTTAGTCTGTTCCAAACAGCTTTATTTCAGTGTGATGTCATTGATCAAAATCCATTTCTTCAGACATAGAAGTGCAAATACATATCTTGTGTAGTTATTCCATAGCAGTGAGATTTATGTCCAGGTAAGGAAACAGGCAACAGACAAATCAACAATGATTTGATAACCCAGGAATGTGACTATCAAGCTGTTAGTTAATAGAGCCTGGCCTGGGTGGCAAGGTAAGAAGCTAGCTACCTGTGTGTGATTTTTAGATGGATTTGTTATGCATGACTGCTTTGGCTGGATTTTTAGTACTACTTGTGTTTTTTTCTATTTCTCAGAGTGTCATTCGGGTTTTTAAAAAATATTTGTATACTTATTCTTAAACACCAACATATCTCCCCCACTCTGGCTGCTTTGCACTGGTTGCCCGTCCGTTTCTGCGTTGACTTCAAAGTGTTGATGATTACATGCGGAGCCCTAGACGGTTTGGGACCTCAGTGCCTGGCGGATCATCTTCTCCCACCCAGATGTACCCGAGTCACCCGACATAGCCAGCAGGGACGGCTGAGGGGTCTGACGCCGAGGGAGGCCCGGAAGGAAAAAAAAAGAAATCGGGCCTTCTTGGCGGTGGCCCCTCGGCTGTGGAACACCCTCCCTACTGAAATTCGGCTGGCACCCTCGCTGGGCATTTTCAAAAGCCAGCTGAAAACTTGGCTATTTAAGCAGGCCTTCCATTCAGTCAATT